ACTAAAAGTATTTTTTTAACTTTTAAAAAAAGTATTTTAGGGGTGCCTGGTCGGCTCAGTCGATTAAGCGTCTGCCTTCGGCTCAGGTCATGATCCCAGGGTCCTGGGATCGAGCCCCGCATCGGGCTCCCTGCTCAGTGGGAAGCCTGTTTCTGCCTCTCCCTCTGCTGTTCCCCCGTTTGTGTGCTTTCTCTCTCTCTCTGTCAAATAAATAAATAAAATCTTAAAAAAATCTATTAAAAGCATTTTAAAAAGAATATGGGAATGTATATATGATAAAGTCAGTTTTAAGAAATTATTCAATTAATAACTTTAAAAGGCATAAAAAGCCTAAAATAAAGGGGCTTCTGGATGGCTCAGTCGTTTAGCATCTGACGCTTGATTTTGCTCAGGTCATGATCTCATGGGTCCTGAAATCGAGCCCCAAGTCCCGCTGGCACTCAGTGGGGAGTCTGCTTGAGAGTCTCTACTTCTCCCTCTGCCCCTCCCCCCCACTTGAGCGGTCTCTCTCTCTCTCTCTCAAATCTTTTCTAAAAGCCTAAAATAAAAAACATAAGGAAAAGTTAACAATTGTTATCTCTAGGTAGCATATTTGGGGGAAACTGGCTTGTTTCTCGCTGCCTGTTTCATGATCAACCAGAAAAGAAACACGCAAATGAGATTTAAAAAAACCAAGGACAAAAGGCAGAAGCCACACCTTTCATAACACATCTTTTGCAGATTAATTTAATCTAGTCACTTAAAAGTATTTTCATTTTTGGGCGCCTGGGTGGCTCAGTTGGTTAAGCGACTGCCTTCGGCTCAGGTCACGATCCCGGAATCCTGGGATCGAGTCCCACATCGGGCTCCCGGCTCAGCGGGGGGCTTGCTTCTCCCTCTGACCCTATCCCCTCTCATGCTGTTTCTCTCTCTCTCAAATAAATAAATAAATAAATTTAAAAAAAAAAAGTATTTTCATTTTTCACTGAACGAATAAGAGAGTATGAGTTGGGGTCAAAGGAGAGTCGAAACAGGCCTTGCGTAGGTGATTGGGTATGATGGACCAAACTGTGTGTCAGCTATGAGAATCGTACCCCAGAAAGCCTTTTCCCATTTTCCGAGGCGGTGGAGTCAAATTACCGAAAACCCCCTGCCCATCAAGACCTCCCCCAATTCACCACACTTCTCAGACCTGTGCACAACCCCGACAAGCTACTCAATCACAAACACAAATGAGGATATCCAACCGCTCACGCCCACACACTGCTATCTTATCCTGAAGCAAGTCACCCCATCCAGGGACCCACCACATTAAGGTTATCGGGCTCACACAGCCAGCCAAACACTGACCACCAGAAGTCCCTAAGGAATGAATCCCTGGCCTCGCTGACCCACACCCGCGACCCTGCCAAACACTGACCACCAGAAGTTCCTAAGGAATGAATCCCTGGCCTCGCTGACCCACACTCGCGACCCTGCTCTCACATCCAAGCCACCTCTCCAGGCACTCATCACAGATCCCCCAGCCCACCGCCGAACGCCAGCCGCCTCCAGGCTGCCTTCATCAGTTAGGGATCCCACCACCCGCCCCGAGCACTCACCAGGCGCCGCACCTCTAGGCGAACAGAGCCGAATCCTCAGCCGGCCACAGGAAGTTTAAAAGGACGGCACACACCACTTCCGCTTCCCGTCCAGCCCCGCGCCGAGCGCTTCTCTCGCTCACTCCTAAGCAGGTGGAAGGGCCGCATCCTTCCGAAGACTCGAATTCTGCACCCTTGACACTTGGCGAGTAATAACGGCCCCTCGCACTGATCGGCTTCACAGTGGGAGTGGTCGTCTTGAATTAATGCGCGGGGCAGAAGCTCCGCCGGCTTCTCCCGCTCTCACACTCACTTCCTCCCGAAAGCCTTTCCGGCCCGCGCCTCTGCAGCACGCCGGGGCCGCTACGCATGCTCAGTAGCGCGTGCGACGCGCTGCCCCTCCGGGGGCCGGTACGCATGCTCAGTAGCGCGGCCCACCCGGCGCGCCTCCCCGGCAGCCGAGGGGTTACCTGCAGCCGGAGACATGGTTGGTCTTGCACCAGACCACAGAATCCAGGGGGACCTCTGATGAAGGGCATCGTGCTCTGCACGGGGCACAGTAGACACGTGCATTGACGAGAAGTAACTCTAGGGTATTTGGAAGTAGAGGTCGTGGAAGAGGAGGCACCAGGGCTGGTAGAACCGGGAAGCCAACCGTGAAGACAGGTTGCGTGCCTGATGGTGAGGAAGAGGGACGGATGGCGGCCGGGGAGAGCTTTCCCCCCGGGGGCGCCGGCCAGAGCTCAGCGGCGCGGGGCTTTCCAGGTGCCCGAGGGCCGGGCCACAGCCGGAGAAGGGTCGGACGGGGTACACTGTTGCCAATCCTAAACCTAGAAAAAGTGCAGAGGAGAGCTGCTGCATTTCTGGAAGCATCTGGTGGGCTCTGCAGATCAAACGAACCGGCCCTACTCCAGACTCCCAATCTGTTACACATCCTGGGAAATCAAAAGGCTAAAGTTACATCATCCAAAAAAAAAAAAGCATACTTCACCTGAACGCCTCCAAACTATCTGCGGGTTGGAGATGTCACATAAAAAGACCTTGCTTTTGAGTTCCTCTTCGAAGACACAGCAGAAGAGGACTTTTGTGATATCCCAAGGACAAAGTGGAGACCCAGACTCAAACGGGACGAGTCATGTTAATGTGACCTGTTGTCAGGCTGCCGCAAAATGTCCTGGTGTACACTTTTTTTTTTTTTAATTTTAAGATTTTATTTATTTGAGAGAGACAGAGATAACGACAGAGATAGTGAGAGAGCAGGAGTAGGGAAGAGAGGGAGAAGCAGGCTCCCTGCAGGGAGCCCGACCGGGTGCTCGATCCCAGGACCCTGAGATCCTGACCTGAGCCGAATGCAGACGTTTAAGGCCTGAGCCACCCAGCCGCCCCTTGTGTACACTTTTATGGCTCTTATCACTTAGGAAACCCCCAGTGTTTTAATTTCCACTATTTAATTTCTTAGGTTTGGTAATAATGTCATGAATATTATGCAGGGGATGCATGATAATATATAAGTAAGGTGTCATGGTATCTTTAATTTCAGATGATTTTGAAAAAATAAATAGGTAGATAACTAAATGGAAAATAGGTACATAACAAAATGGTTAAATTTGTTGAATCTATTTTGTAGGTACATAGGGACCATTATTATTTAGATTTTCAACCTTTTTATACTTAATGATTAGATGGCAAAGTTGGAAAAATAATTATTTCTAAATAAAATACTTAGAATTGTTTCCTAATTTCCAAAGTTATAGATTCCTAGCTAATTTTTGTCATTGACTTCTGTTTGTGAGCTTAACAGAACCCAATTGCACATTATTTAGTTCAAACTTTGAAATTTGTTGAAATCTGCTTTATAGCTCAGAACATGGCAAACATGGTAAACTTTGAAGTGCTTGAAAATTCTGTGCATTTTGAGGATGTTTTATATAATACCTCCATTATACTTATTTTTATGTAGTATGTTCAAAACTTACTTTTACAAACATTTTATCAGTTTATTCTGTAATATACTGGTAGAAAAGGATTAAAATCTCTATGATTGTAAATGTCTCTATAAATCTTACATTTTTACTTAGATAATTTGAGTCCCTGTTTGATGTATGAATTTAGCATTTCTTCCCATGACTAGTGACTGTCCCCTTAGAGATTATTTTTTTCTGATATTTAGTTGTACTAGTTTTGTCATGTTTAGTATTTGCATGAGATGCTTTTTCGTAAAATCCATGTTTTATGTGGTTATTTCATTTAAAAAAAACAGTATTTTAATTTTATCAAGTCTGACAATAACAAGTCTGTATATTAACCAGAGCATTTAATTCATTCACGTTTAACTTACTGACAAATTTTTGTTTGATCCTACCTCTTTCTATTTGGGTACTTACTCTGTTTCTTTATTAAACTCTACTTTTTAGCCTTCTTTTGGGTTCGTGATGATTTTGGGTTTTTAATCATTCTATTTTTGCTCTTTACCTTTGCCTTTGACTAGTTTGGAAGATACATACCCTGCTCCTATTCCCTTAATGATTACTTTATTTTCCTTAATGATTGAACGTGCATCCTTAACCATAATAACATGCATTCTTAACACTCAAAGTTAACAACTTTATACTTCTTTAGGAAAACAGAAAGTACTTTAGAACACTTTAATACAGGATACTTCTTGCAATTTACATGCTGCTGTTGTCATGTAGTTCAAGTCTATGTAATTCTTAAAATAACATGATAGGATTATTTTTGCCTATCGTCTTTATTGAAGTTTACTACACTTTGACTATAATTACCTCACAGCAACAGAGTAAATTAATGTCAATATAGAGTGAATTAACTTTTATTAATATGTATTTTAATTACTATTAATTATAGTTATTAGTTGCTGTGCTGCCTTACCAAAGGATTATGAGGTCCCTCATAAACAGATATAGTCTGTGCTCACTTCCTTTTTCTGTTTGGGTTAGCCTGTTGGTAGTACAAGACATTCCCCTGTGCATCTGCTGTTTTCATTTCTTTGAAAATAGCAGCTGCTTCCAGTTTTTCAGAACTTAGGGACAGAAGACGTGTGATTACTCATCACCCTTAAATCTCAATAGTTTTTAAAGAGATTTTTAAGTAATCTCTACATCCAATGTGGGACTGACACAACCCCAAGATCAAGAGTCACATGCTCAGGGCGCCTGGGTGGCTCAGTTGGTTAAGCATCTGCCTTCGGCTCAGGTCATGTTCCAAGAGTCCTGGGATCGAGCCCCACGTTGGGCTCCCTGCTCAGTGAGGACCCTGCTTCTCTCTCCGCTCCTTCCCCGGCTCATGCTCTCTCTCTCAAATAAATAAATAAAATCTTAAAAAAAAAAAAAGTCACATGTTCCACTGACTGAGCCAACCAGGTGCCCCAAATCTCACTATTTTTAATGCATTTATTTTTTCTGAGTGACAACCAGAAGACAATTTGTTTCAAAAAATTTATTATTCCAAAGGGCTAAAACTATTACCAGACCCACTATGTTATACCAGTAAAGAATTTTTAAAAAGGTCTTAATCTTAAGCCTAATTACTTCCCTTGCAATTTATATATTAAAAAATGTACAATGTTGGCATTTCTTGATGGATACTACACATTACAAACAATTTTGTGGTATACAACTTTCTTTCATGATCTTATGAAACCTGAAAATTACTATATACATGTGCTACAAAAATACTCAGACACAAAACAAATACATTCATCTGGGACCATTCTTAACTTACTGTTTTGACTATCCAATATATTCAAATATGAAACAAAGTGTCCTTTGGCATACGGAAGTTATTTGCTCTTTCTGACTACTTCATGTTATATTTTCCATAAATAAATGGCAATGTGACAGGAACGAAATTTCTGTTATAAAGTTTATATGTAAGCAACCTTTCCCAGCATCATTACACCACACTAATTCTCCTTAAGTGTTATCTGATGCATTGTAAGTTTAGACTTCATGCCAGAGGCATTCCTCATCGCAAGTCTTCAGTCTTCTATTTTCTTTGGTGTGATCATTTGTTTGGAAAGTATTCCAGATTTCACATTTGTGAGTTGTTTTTTTTTTTCCCTCGGTGAAAACTATTAGAGGATGACCCATCAAAAACATTTGTTGCACTCAGGTTTCACTTCTGTGTGATGTATAACGGGATTTCACGTGTCAAGAAAAGATTTTGACTTTTCACCTCATTCATATGCCTTTCCCCAATGAAATGAGGCTACACTAGTGGTAGATAATTTTCTTATATTCACTGCACTTAAAAGATCTCTCTCCTGGATAAGTTTTCTGAAACTGACACCAACCAAAAGTATCCTAACTTTCACAGCATTCATAGGGTGTGTCTTGTGTGATTTCTCTTGTATTCAGTGAGATGTGACATCTCACTGAAGTCTTTACAGTGCTCACTGTGTTCCTGAGATTTCTTTCCTGTATGAATTTCCTCATGTGAGGTGAGAAAGAACTTAACAGAGAATGTTTTCCCACACTCATTACACTGATAAGGTTTCTGTCCTGCGTGACTTCTCTGATGGACACTGAGGTATGATTTCTCAAAAAAGGCTTTTCCACACTGAGTGCACTGATACGGTTTCTCTCCTGTGTGGCGTCTCTGATGTCTAATGAGCTGGGACTTCTGGTTGAAGATCTGACCACATGGAACACATCCATAGGGTTTCTCTCCAGTATGGCACCGTTGATGGATAATAAGATGGCTTTTTTGGCGGAAAGCTTTTCCACATTCATTGCATCCATGGGGTTTCTCTCCTGTATGAATCAACTGATGTCTACTGAGCATTGCCATACTGCTAAAGGCTTTTTGGCATTCAAGACATACAAAGGGTTTTTCTCCTGTATGTGTTCTCTGATGGACAATGAGCATTGCCTTTCGTATGAAAGCTTTTCCACATTCACTGCATTCATAGGGTTTCTCTCCCGTATGAGTTCGCTGATGGACAGTGAGATGTGACTTGTCTATAAAAGATTTTCCACATTCACTGCATTCATAAGGCTTCTCTCCTGTATGAATTCTCTGATGTGTTATGAGGGATGACTTTTTATTAAAGGCTTTCCCACATTCCTTGCATTCATAAGGTTTCTCTCCTGTGTGAGTTCTTCGATGAACAATAAGCTGTGAATTGTCTATAAAAGCTTTTCCACATTCGCTGCATTCGTAAGGCTTCTCTCCCGTATGGATTCTCTGATGTGTTATGAAGTGTGACTTTTTATTGAAGGCTTTCCCACATTCCTTGCATTCATAAGGTTTTCTTCCTGTATGATTTCTCTGATGTACAATAAGCTGTGATGTGTATACAAAAGCTTTTCCACACTCACTGCATTCATAAGGTTTCTCTCCTCTATGAATTCTCTGATGTGTCAGGAGATGCGAGTTTTTATTGAAGGCTTTCCCACATTCCTTGCATTCGTACGATTTTTCTCCTGTATGAGTTCGCTGGTGAACAACAAGCTGAGACTTACTACAGAAGGTCTTCTCACATTCTCTACATCCATAGGGTCTATCTCCTGTATGAGTTCTTTGATGGATAATCAGGTTTGACTTCTGCATAAAACTTTTCCCACAGTCACTACACTCAAAAGGTTTCTCTCCTGTATGCGTTCTGCAATGCAATCTGAGCTTTGTCTTCTCCCTGTAAGCTTTTCCACACTCTTTGCACTCATAGGGTTTCTCTCCTGTATGAGTCCTGTGGTGTAGAATGAGATGATACTTTGTTCTGAAAGATTTCGGACACTGAATACATCCATAAGGTTTCTCTCCTGTATGAGTTCTCTGGTGTAGAGTGAGATGACATTTTGTACTGAAAGCTTTCTGACATTCAGGGCATCTGTACGGCTTCTCTCCTGTATGAGTTCTCTGGTGTATTATGAGCTTTGACTTATACCTGAAGGACTTTGGACACTCACTACATTCATAAGGTTTCCCTTCTGTGTGAATTCTATGATGTCTTTTAAGATTTTTCACCATGCTGAAAGTCTTCACACAGAAATTATGTTCACTGTACTGGGCCTGAGTATGGCAGGTTTCATGTAGAGTATGGAAAAATGGTTTCCCATGGCTGCTTAATTCAAAAGAATTCATTTCTGCATAGTTTTTACTCTGAAATTTTGAATCTGACTTTTGTTTCAAACGTATTCCTTTTGAGAAACATTGAAGGGGCCTTTCTACAAAAGAAACAAAGTTTTTGCTCAGAGAAAATATTTTTCCCAATGCATTGTTTTCATTATTCCCCTCCACAGATTCATCCTTCTCAATATTTTCCTGATACTAACCCTAAACTTGCCACATTACTTCTAGGGGAAAAAAATCAATGAATCCTACCATTATGAAATTGGGCGGGGCGGGGGGAAGGATGGAATCTCAAGTCAATATCCAAAGAGAATGGAGAAAGTGATACAGCAGGTAAACAATGTTAAGTCAGAGGTATTCAATAAGAGAAACAGTAAGTAATGAACTGAAGACATGGTATCCTCAAACTCTGGAGGGAATCAATGAATATCTGAAAGCCTAATAGAAAAGCTATGTGAATATGGATAAGATGTGGGGAAGGCAGCCTGTGTCTCACGACCTGCAAAAGAACAACTAAGCCAAAAAGGAAAGACCAAATGAAACAGGCCAAGATCTGACCCCGAGTAGATAAAAGGAGGTACACCTTCTGCTAGGCGGCTAGCATATGAATCATATATGGTGAAAGGAGGAAGCACCATTCACACTGATGACCTCTTTTCACTTGCTCTAAGTCACCTCTTAAGGTTCAGACACTATGAGAAAAAATATTAAAATAACAAGGGCCCAACACACCGATGATCAACTGTCACTTGGCTTCCACTAACTCCCACTGGACTGGTGTACTCACCGGGACTACACTGACTTGGGAATTCTCTCTCTAGCATTCCTTGTTCTCCTTTCTCCAAGGGGACCGTTGCTTCTGGCCTAGTGGCTTGATAACCTGTCAAGAGGCAATCCCAGAGAACTGAGCAGTGTTAGGGCCTATGATGAAAAATTCCGTTTCAGGGAACCTCAGCAAAATGGAAACTTTTTCATTCAGAAAATGAAAGTAAGTACCATCACTATTTGGTCATAAAATAAGTTCTACCACCTATACAACTCCAAAATCAGTAAGGATATCAGAGTACCCATAAATTATGTCAATGGGGAAAAAAAACCAGGCAATAAATGGGCTCATGCTGAGATATTTAGGAAAGTTGTCTTTACCCAAAGACATTAGGTTGCTATAATTTTCCAACATCACATCCCGGTAGAGGTTCCTCTGAACAGTATCTAGTAGCTGCCATTCTTCCCAGGTGAAATCCACAGCCACATCACTGAATGACAACAAGCCCTGTAATAACATAATCCTTTTTAATCTAGAGTTAATATAATGGAATAAAATATAGAAGATATATAGGATATTAATCTGATTATTTTTACTATAGAAATTTATAAACAAGTTATTTCTTTATATCTAGTTTTGATTTATACTTTGTGCACTAATAAATCCATTAAAACAATCCTTTCTGCATTTTTTAAAAAAAAGATTTATTTGAGAGAGAGAATCAAAGGAGGGGCAGAGGGAGAGGGAGAGAGAGAATTTCAAGCAGACTCGCCACTGAGCAGAGTCTGATGCGGGACTCTATCTCATAGCCCTGAGATCATGACCTGAGCTGAAACCAAGAGTTGGATGCTTAACTGACTGAGCCACCCAGGCACCCCTCCTTTCTGCAGTCTTCATTCACTTCGTCACTCATTCATTCACCCAATGTAAAATGTTGTTAAAACTTTACCTAGGGGCGCCTGGGCGGCTCAGTCGTTAAGCGTCTGCCTTCGGATCAGGTCATGATCCCGGGATCCTGGGATCGAGCCCCGCATCGGGCTCCCTTCTCAGCAGGAAGCCTGCTTCTCCCTCTCCCACTCCCCCTGCTTGTGTTCCCTCTCTCGCTGTCAAATAAATTTTAAAAATCTTAAAAAAAAAAAAAAAAAAAAAAAAACACTTCACCTAAAAACCATCTGCAACCGACCTTAGGAGCATTTGATGTTTTTTTGGGTTTTTTTCTCCCTAAGATTTTATTTATTTATTTAAGAAAGAGAGAGCACGAGCTGTCGGAGGGGCAGAGGGAGAGGGAGAAGCAGACTCCCCGCTGAGCAGGGAACCCGACATGGGGTTCAATCCTAGGACCCAGATCATGACCTGAGCCGAAGTCAGCCGCTTAACCAACTAGGCCACCCAGGCGCCCCAGGAGCATTTAATGTTACCTACTATACATTGCAATAAAAAAGGAGACAAAGCATAGTCCTGACTTCAGGTAGCTTCTCATCTTGCAGAGTGGCAAGTACACTCCTTTACAGAGTTCATATACGGCAAGACATTATGGTTTAACAAGGGTTACAACAGATGTATACTCAAGCTAAAATATGGGCACAAGGAGGTGAGGACCTAATAGTTCTGAAGAAGAGGTCAAGCTGGAAGAGGTGCAGCACATTTACTGTGTGTTCCACAGTAAGTGCTGGAAGACATGGGAGCTGTGGGTCTTCCAGAGGGAGCATGTGTTAAAAATGCTAAATACCATGCTGGGTTCAAGGAACTGCAAGAAGTTCAATAGGGTACAGGCAGCAACAGAACTTGGAGCAAGTGCACACATTTCCTGCAGACACTTGGTAGATGCTACAGTGTTTTTCGTATACAAAAGTATGTTATGGGCGCCTGGGTGGCTCAGATGGTTAAGCGTCTGCCTTCGGCTCAGGTCGTGATCCCAGGGTCCTGGGATCGAGCCCCGCGTCGGGCTCCCGGCTCAGCGGGGAGCCTGCTTCTCCCTCTGACCCTTGCCCCTCTCATGCTGTTTCTCTCTCGCTCTCTAAAAAATAAATAAAATCTAAAAAAAAAGTATGTTATGCTCAGAACTGCCTTTTAGAAATTGACTGTGCTACATATTAAATCATGATAGTCATAAAAGCAAAAACAGAGCTCTTACTATGGGCTGTATATTGTTCTAAACACTTTACATATGTTCACACAATGATCTACACAAAGACCCTTAGGTAAAAGTTACTCTTCTCTTTGTAGCTAAGAAGAGATTTTTAAAGTTTTCTAGCTATGCCTTTTATATCTCCCACATTTCCTTAGGAAGATGACCATTCACTGGGTCCATACTCTGGAGAAAAACAGAAGAGGAAGACCCATCAGAGACACTTCTTCACATTTAATCTCTGGGAAATATTTACTCAGAAAGGCCATGTGCCTCCTCCTTATATACAAAGTAAATCTTACAGCATGTTTTTCTTCTTCTGTGATGGTTTCCAGTATTACCACAGAAATGTCTGCAACTCCGCTCTGGATCCTGCCCACCTATGTGTCAGTGTTCCAATTGTTAGCACCTGGCAACATGAGCTATACAGATAAGACAGTACTCCCTTCCTGATTGGCTACTCCAGATCATTACTCTGTTTCCCAGTCGAAGCACATTTCTCCCAGCTGCAACAGATTTACATATATCATTCACTTTGACTGTATACATTTGTTAAATTGTTAACTATAGTTGCCACACGATGTTACATTAGTTTCAGGTGTACAATATAGTGATTCAACAAGTCTATAGTCATGCTGACCACAAATGTAGCTACCATCTGTCACCATACAACACTATTACAATATCATTGATTATATTTCCTATGTTGTATCTTTTATTTATTTTTTAAAAGATTTTATTTATTTATTTGAGAGAGAGAATGAGAT